CTTCTTTTTGTATTTTATTCCTAAATACATTGCCAAATTTTAAGAGCATATATTAACACTAAAAAGTACCCAATTTGTAGAATAAATTTCAAAAAAACAAAAAATACGGATAACCGAATGTTTTATAGGAAAAATTGAGAGTCTTTCTAACCTAACTTTTATAATTTTTTTATACAAATTTACCAGGAGTTTTAGTAACTAGGTAGATAAAATATGTGAAAGAACTATTAAGAAGAAACTTAGGAAAACAATCATTAGAATATGAAGATTTGGTAACTATTATGTGATGTGGAAGCAATTATAAATGACAGACCAGTGACTTATGTATCAGAAAGTATAGTTTTTTACTTAGTCACCATCGACCGACACTACTTAGTAGATGTAGATATTTACATAAATTGTAAAATGGTTTGAGATCTACATTTAAAAAGGCGTACCTGTCGGAATTAGTGCAATTTGGTCAAAGGAACGCAACTTTATCGTATTAGTGGGGTCCAATAATATTAAGAAAATTGATTGGCGCTTTGAAAAGATTGTGGAAAATTTAGAGTGGCTAAGATTAAAACAGCGCACAGCGAGATCATTTGACAATTTCAAAGATTATACCCAATTGGAGTGATGAAAGACAAAAGAAAAAGATATTTCCCAAGAAAATATTCATCCATTAAATCCTCTTCAACGGGATGTTTATCAATTAGAGACTCCACGTTGTTCGAAGTTGTACGAAGTTGCTAAGCGAGTTACCTTTACAGAAAAGGACGAAATGTACGAGCACCTCAACTTTTTAGGTTTTAGTTAATTTATTAATTTATTATTTTATGTTACAATAGAAGTATTAAAAGTAATTTTAAAAAATCGACTTTAAAATCGTGCAGATTCCATCACCACATCTTAAGCAAATTTGTATGGGACCACCCCTGAGGTACCCCCTTACTAACAAAAAAAGAATCATAGAAATCGGACAAGGTGGTAAAGAATTATCGCTAAACATACATAAAAAAATATACCGACGAATTGAGAACCTCCTCCTTTTTTGAAGTCGGTTAAAAAGGGGTAAGTTTCTTAGAAGTAGTTTCTCACCCAGATGTTTTTGGTAGTGTCACGTTGACATAATATGAAAATAAACATAAATGTTTATCAGAAGTAAATTTGGTGAATAATTTTTTTATTAAAATAAGGTACAAATTATCCATCGGCTTCTTACACATTGTTTTATCAAGATTCTAAACCGTATTCCTAAAATTTTGCTCATGTTCTGCGCCAGCTCAATTTAAATTCTTTTTTCCAATTGAGGAAGAGTCTCAAAACGAGAGTGAGCGACTATAAACCATCTATCTACTTATAAAGAAGGAAAATAATATAAACAATATGCAACCCATTCAAATCAGTAAGACCAGAGAGGAGCACTTAGCATATTTGTAGGCTATGCAAGGCAACTTTAGCGCATAAACAAGTACTAAAGTACAGTCGACTTTATGACTACCGAAGGCATATAGATCAATAACTCTGATGTCATTCCTATGACCTGCAAACTAACTTTTTCTACACCCGTATTATAATAATGCACTTATATGCCCATAATCCGTTTCATAATGATACCCATTATGATACAGATTTTTCATTATGATACAGATTTTTAATCAATAGAAACCTACAATTTTTCAATCAAGCATGATGTTTGACGTTTGTCCTAAATTCCTATGTAATTGTTTTAGTTGTCAAAACGTATTAAATTTTCGTAGATAGCTAAACTTCGATAATTATAATATTAAAATGTCTGATATCAGCGATATAGAAGACTCCTCCACACATATCGGAGAAAGGAGAAAATGCAGTACAAAATATTTTGCCCCAAAAATTTGTGGTAATACCAATACCCAAGGTAATACCATTAATTACAATTTTGTAGAATTTTTTATAGAAATACGAGTAATTACTGTTATTGTGTTCAATGCCAATATAAATAGAATATTTATAGGTCTTGATTATTTATCGGGTGTAGAAAAAATAGCGTATGCAACTCTCATGTAATGGTTATTAAAACACTCGCATAAACCATACGAAACTCGCCTTTGGCTCGTTTCGTATCCCGGTTAATGCTCGTGTATTAATAACCATCATTATATGATCGTTGCATAATATACTATAATAGAGATGCCATTTTACGCAAACCATTTTGGTTCTGATATGCATTTATGATATTCAAAATTTTCACATCAAGTATAAATGTGCTTTATTTCTTGTCTCGTTTAGAGACAAATGTAGAAGATTTGAAATGAGTCTGACGATAACGCATCTGTCATCCGCACCATATTCATACCTATTACCTACAGCTCATGTCCAATTTTTCAGGTCTAAAAGATCATGGCTGTTTTTGTAACTCGTTTTTTCGAGATGCGATAAAGTTCATAAAATGGCTAATAGTTGTTACAAAAGCACAAAATATTAGTTCCTCCTTAGATAAAAGCTGTTTGCTAAAGTTGTAATTGATAGTTATAAAACTCAAAGTAATAAGAAATTAAAAACATTTATTACGAGTTGTAAATATTAAAAGTACATAAAACCCAAAAGTGAAATGAGTTTGGCATGAAATTTTATGAGTCGTTAATTTTAGTTTAAAGGGTATACGAGAAACAATTGTACTCAACAAATCCTAATGAATTTCAAACAGTAGCTAAATGTAAAGTTAATACACTTAATATTTACGATAGAAATTTAAATACCTAGTAACATATTTGGTCGATATTTAAAAGAAAAATTATTAGCTCATGTATATCATAGAATATCATAAATGCCTCATTATGGTATATTTGGGATGTCTATTGTATAGTAACGATCAATCATTAAATTTTTGAGGATAATTTTTGATGCAAGCACTGTTGGAAATTTAGATTACTTCGTAAACCTATCACAAGTTTAAAATTATTTTAGTGAAATGGCGCCCAACGTGGGGCTGTTAATTATTATAACCAAAACTATATAATCTTAACAAGTATTAGAAATTAAAAATTTAAAAAAAACCGACCTTAAAAAGGTGCAGATGCCATCACCACATCTTAACCAAATTTATATGAGACCACCCCTGAGGTACTCCCTTACTAACAAAAAAAGACTCATATAAATCGGACATGGTGGTAAAACATTATAGCTAAACATACATAAAAAATGAAGAGTTTGAGGATTTTATCATGGACCCAATTATTACATTTTGACCAAATTTATATGGGACCACCCCTGAAGTACCCCCTTTCTAACAAAAAAAGAATCATTGAAATCGGACACCGTGTTAAAGAATTATCGCTGAACATACATACATAAAAAAAATCGCGACGAATTGAGAACCTCCTCCTTTTTTGAAGTTGGTAAATAAAAGAGGAGTGCAGTTAAAGTGGGGTTATAATGTCACATTCCATAGGCGTACTTTTCAAAATAAGTTTCTATAATATAAATTAGGTCACGGCATATAAAATGGTATATACGAACTTCGTAGATCAAATTTTGAATGAAAGTTATATTATTTACAAAAAAATAAAAATAAACATTATGCTTCTAACAAAATTGTTGCACTTTAACATTGAACGAATTAAATTTAAGCAATAAATAACAAAGAGGATTATATGTTGTTATTGGGATTAAACTTTTTTTAATCTCTTTGCATTAAAAGTTACACTTCAGAACATAAAATCAAAGATTAAAAAATAAAGTTCAAGAACTATCTTCAAAAGTTACTGTCTTCAATATAACTATTGGTATCGTTATCACTGTCTAAAGTTTATTATTATAGGGTTTACTAAGTTTTCCATTGCTATAACCACTTTCCACAATGAATTTTCCACTTTCTAAACATTCCTTTAAAAACAAATTTCGCACATCAGGTAATTTAAATGTTGTATTGTTTCGAAAAACCTTTTAATTGTGACCAGATCAGTTAAATGGGATTTAACTCTGTGTGGTAAGGATGCAATCTGAGAATTTTAATTCCTTTTTCACGTGCCATCTCGTCTATAATATATTTTTTGAATTTGTTTTTATGTTGTCTTGCTATTACGAGTAATTCTGCTTGAAGGATTTAGGAGGACTGATAATATTTTTAGAATGAAGCTATTTTGAAATATCTTCTTTTTTGAATCTTATTGTAGGTAATGACTCCTTTAATCGACTGATAGAATGGATGTATCACAAATAATAACGAAGTTGACTGGATTTTTTTTGTAATGTTCTGAAATCAATTTTCAAACATAAAAGGCCATCAATTTCTTCATGGTAGTCTTTTGTTTTCTTTGACATTAATAAACCATCTGGCAAAAATTCATGGGTGCTTCAAATGTGGATTATTATTAAACGACTACCTTTTCCTATTGGATTTTTTAATCCATAAGAGACCCCTTCCATAAAGGCTTGTTTTTTAGTTTTGATAGAGGTCTCTTCGCAAAATTTTTATTACCGTATGTCCAGCATTAACCCATATTGCATCTAAATAAAATACCTGTTTATGCTGATTCCTTGCGTCCGCTATTTTCCTTAAATTATCATGTCTCCACGCAATTATTTCTGTCACGTTTTTTGCAGATGAAAATATGATATATTTTTCTATTTTATTATTTATTTGTAAATATGGACGAATATCTCGTGTAAAGCCTTTATTTATCGATTATTTACAAGAATTAGTCATTTTTTAATTACATTTAATCTCAATGTACTTATTACTTATACTAATTAGTTTGATATAATTGTCACTCATTTAAAATTTAAAAAAATAACAGTAGCCGGTGACCAAATACAAACGGTAATTGGTGAATTTTATACCCATCAAGTGTTCTTACTAGGTAAAATGGATATGAAATATATTCATTCAGTTAAACGCAATAGCCCACTTTTTCAGTTTGTAGTCTATGCGTGTAGAAAAAAGTTTTTTGTACATTAAGCTTTCTGCTATATAAAATATTTTTTGTTGAAACTAATAAAACTATCATTACGAATATATTTATTGACAATTTCAACCTTCTTTATTTTAATTAACAACAATACGCTATTTATATTAACGATTTATTCTTTTGGTACTTCAAACTGCAGTGCTACCAAAACGTAAGTGAGTATATTCGCTGCTATCTGAAACAATAAAACAATACCTGTATATAATTTATTATAATTAAAAATATTCTACCAAATTTTCAGATAATTAAAAATGGATTTAATCCGTAAATATGCCATTACAAGTTATAGCTTAAATACAGAATTTTGCGTTCGAACATGGCATTTCATAAATAAAAGATGTGAACCTTCTACGCTGCCGTACACATCTGATCATAACTTTTTCACTTTATATTGCCTGAACATATAAATAATAAATAAGACTCAAAATCGGTACCACTTAAATACATCAGAGTATACAACTGATAGAGGACCGGCATCGCAGCGCCATGTGTACTTAACATTGGAATTACTCAAAAATAGATACCTATGTTTAATAATTTCAATTTGTTTAGATGTTCTTCCTAATATTATTTTCACTCGATAACCACCTAATAATCTACCATTATATGTACTTTTTTTTCTGTAATTTTTTAATAAAAAAAAATAATTTGATGGTGGTTAACCCCTATTAATTTTTACTTACCGGTCCTGCAATTCCCAAATCTATCGTGAAAACCCCGCTGGCCGTAAATGGACGATGGTTGTTGATTTTTTCTATAAAAAATCGAACTTGTTGATGTTCTTCTGGATCAGTTATTCTTGTAGAGTATTCCAGTAAGAATGTAACTAATCCATGTATCTAAAAGTGCTTAATATTATTGACATCCATTGAACAAAAAAAAAACATTTAAAGTGGACTGTTTTAAGGGGCAGCACTAGTGTGAAATTTTGAAAAAATAGATTTTCTTTCATATTTCGATAGTCTATACCTAAAAATACCGTACGAAAATTTCAAGTGCATATATCCGGTAGTTTTTGAGTTACAGCCATCTGAAGAGCAGCTGCTCATTGGTTCGAAAGTTGCGTCAGCTTAGAGAGTTTTACTCGAAACTACATTTTTTAAACTTGCTGCAGTTATAACTCGAAGACAAATCATCCGATCGATTTGATTCTTGTTGCAGCTTCTTTTATATATGTTTCTTCATACCATGAAACACTTTTGTTAAATTACAGGCAATACCTGCTAGTTTAATAAACTTTTTGGTTTTTTTGATTTCAAGCACTGTGAAGGTCGCTATCACTGTAGCAGTGGGAGGACTTTTTTTTTGAAGCCTTGGGAGATTACGAACGCGTTGAATTTTTTCTCTTCAAAAATTTTAGCATACATGTTTTATAATATATCCTCTAAAAATTAAAACATTCCTTGCAGTAGTTGTCTTTAAAAAAATTCCCGAAAATCATCTTTTTTTCAGGCGGTCAGACTAGTGGTGCGCCTTAAGCTAGATTCTGGTTCTCTATGAAAAATTTGATCCAGTTGTTAACCAGCCATGATCCAATCCACAAAGCACATAGAGGTTCCACGTGAATGACCAAGGTCAAAACCGACAACTGACATTTTTTATGCTATTTGCTCCAAACTCTAGATGGGGCTACTGGTGAAATTATGATTTCTTACTCCATTTTTAAGCCTTATGGGAGAAAAACTAACCAAAGACTCCAAAGATGTGCGTGTATTTATTTATGTTCTTGGTTAGTTTCATTTTTCCGTCTGATTTTAGTAATTTTTTGTTGGCTTTGGCTTTTGGTTTCTGTTTATAGTTTCGTATTAGTTATTTGCAAAATTGTGATGTTTCGGTTTTTTATTTCCTACTGTGTTTTGCAATAATTTTGGTGCTACGTTGAAAACTTCGAGAAAAACTTCATTGATTCACCATATATTCACCATGCATCTGCATCATAAAAATACAAACGGGGACAACAACTAATTGATAATCAATTTATCACTGGACTAGATTCCGAAATCTGTATCACCATCTGTATTTGGAAGGAATTGAATGAATAGTTAAAAGGATTCACCTTTTAATACAATACCTATATTACATTTGTCCTCAGTTAAAAAGACATTTATAAAATATATAACTTTAGTGTTAATAAAATGTAATATCCTAGTCTCTACTTCACATTTAAATTATTGATAGGTATTTTAAAGATTTGAGATTATATATCTATTTGCTCCAAGTAAGTATTCGTTAAATATGTATTATTATTTGTATTTATTTTTATCTAATAATATTTATTTAAGTTATTAATAAACATATTTTAAGAATGTTCTATTTTATTATTTATTGATATATCTTATATTTATTTAATAAAAATATGCAAAACCAACTCTTCACATTAGACCCCTTATAACAAATTAATTCTTCAAATTTGGTATAATCGACCTAAATTATTTTGTAAAATAAAAGTTTCGAACTTACTAGTTCCATACTTTATTTTATAAAATAATTTATGTGGAAATCATTTAAAATTTAATTTAGAACTACTACCTACTCCTAAAAATTACAATTTGAATTTACCGCCATCTGTCAATTGTCATTTTAGTTCCAGCTCCAAACACAAGGTGACGCTAATTTGGTTTAAAAGTTTAACATTGGCGTGGGGTCTCTAGAAGATACATGCTTTGTGATCCAATCACTGAACTGTAACTGTTACTGGAACGTTAGTAAAGCTACGGTTTGTTGGGACAGTAAGCGACGCTCGATGTACGCGTACGGCAGAATTTGTCGCGTTCCACTCACGTCAGTTGAGTATAAGTGGTTTGTTAGAATAAAAAAAAATCAGTTCAACTTTTTCTGTTGATACATGGAGGTGAAAATGAGTTCTTATAAATTAAATAATACGATAGTAGCGATTATTTTAATAGAAGAAGAAGAAGATTGTATTGTACACATAAATGACATTTCCATCCCTGACGTTAAGAAACAAAAATGACATTTAAATTCATTGCTATTATAATTATTTAAGATTTAAAATTAACTTATATGCTCTTACTGTTATAGATATGAAATGTGTTCATTAAATCACTCAAAAAGATTTGAAACATTTATTTATTATCAAAAATTTTATTTTAGATATACATCAAAATTTGCAAATTAATTTAATAAATAAAGTCTGATCTGATCATAATGTAACAGTACTCTACTCAGCTGTAACAGCTCTTTACTGCGCGTGCGTGTCATCCAAGCGGCATTACCGTTATTCGCGAAATCAAAACGACGTAGTTCTAGAACTTAGGAATATCTTTCCATTTCAACGGTTACAGTTCAATGGATCCAACCCATCATATTAAGATTTACCAGTGGATTAAACTAGATGTGCCTATTTTGAGCATTCTCCAATATTACGTTCAAATAAACGTGTTTTAAGTTTTTCCTAAATATCGTACAAATCGTACAAATACTTTGAGACCGCTTCTGTTTTTAACTGGATTGTATGCCCTTAAGGTACCATTTCGGTAGGCACGACAGAAGACAGGAGACCACCGAGGTGACCCCAAGGACGACAGATGCATGAATGGTACGCTCCGTACATTTGGGAAGCAAGGGTACAGGTAGCACGACACCCGCAGACAACCATTTGAGGGAACGATCAGCGTTGCCAGACCTACTATTTTTAAGTAGATCCACTGTTTTTGTCTCTAACAAATTTTGTACTTAATTTATTAAGTTTGCCTCATTCTTCAGCAAGTGGTTAATTAAAGAATATTTTCTCTAGTAAATTTTCTGTAGTAAAAGCAGCGTAATGAGCAGCCACTATTGTAGGTTAGTTTTTATTTAAATGAAACAAAGAATTAATAGGGCATCATAAAAAGAACATGCATGCCAAACACAACGATTTTGAATTATCTGATTCAGACTGATCTAAAATAAGTAGGTATCTATTATTTTTCATTGTTTTTTTTTTGTTTCCGTACGTTAAGTATATATTGAAAATGTTAATATTTGTTTTATTCTATGTTTATTTTCTGATTTGGGTAGAAAAATTTTTATTTTTCGTTTCTTATATTCTTGTTTGTTTTTTTTTATTTACTATACTGCAAATTTTAATTATTAAAATCTACTGTTCAGATCTACGGTTTTTTTTTTTCACCCATACTATCAATTCTATAAAATATCGACTAATCACCTCCAAATACAAGCGATGTCTAAGGACAGTGACCTCGAGTGCGACACGCATCAAACGCTTTGCCCGGAGACCGATCCAAAGTGTCGTCGAGAAGTGTCGGGCCGTGCGAAATGTGTTTCATATAATTGTATGTGTTTCAGACGTGAAGAAACCGTTCTCGGTCGCGTCGGTTGTCGTCTGTCGCGCCTACCGAAATGGTACCTTTAAAGCAGATAATGTTTGCTGAAAATCGTTCATGACGTGTACCTAGGGGTTGTAAAAACTTCTTAAGGAACGTAGTTGTTTCAAAGTACTCGAAAAATGACTTTGACTTTTGGTATCTAAACCACAACATGTAATTATTCATTTACGTAGGAATTTCCTTAGAAACTAAACATGTCTCTTTCCGTTACAACTCCTATGTTATGTTATTTTGGGAATGGGGTGTTAATACACTGCGACCTAAAAGATATTTGTTTCCCCTTCTATCGCTAATGAAGCAAAGAAATATCTCAATGCTTTTTTTTTCCTGGGCTCGTCTGACTCTGTGTCTCCGAATAGCACTGAAGCCTATTGGCTTATTGTGTTTTACCCCATGTTAGTTCATAGCACCCACTCTCTCACCTTTGTACCTTGTACAAGTTTGTACAGATCCTTGGGTGAGTGGGTTCTATACGTTGTTGGATCAACCTGGGGTTGTCCAAAAAGAGCCTGTCTTTTGCGATCTAGAGCTTCGCATTCGCACAGTATGTGTTTGGCCGTTTCTGGTTTCTTGTGACATAGTCGGCACATGAGTTCCCCATTGTACATGCCAATTTTGTTCAAGTGTCCCTTTACTGGGGCGTGCCCAGTCATGAACCCTGTTATCACTTTCAACTGGTTCCTATTCATTAAGAGTAGTTCTCCAGTTCTTTTGGGACATGGTCTGCCTATGAAGGCTTTTCCATGTGCCTGTTTTGGGGTGCTTCCCCAATAGTTGATATGTTGTTCCCGAATCCAGTCATTTATAAAACCCCGGACTGTACTTTTTGGTACTCCTGGGTTTGTGTCGGGTTCCGGTGTTTCTTCTGACCCTCTTTTTGCAAGTTCGTCAGCCTTTTCGTTGCCTTCGATCTCTTTGTGACCTGGCACCCAAAATAGTTTTACTCTATTTCGGTCTGCCAGTGTTCTTAGTTCTTCGATGCATTCCCATACCAGCCTCGACGTAACTTTCTGACTCGATATGGCCTTAAGTGCCGCTTGGCTGTCTGACATTATTTGAATATCCTGATTTTCGACAGCTCTTTCATTGTTCGTTTTTGCACATTGCAAAATTGCGTGTACCTCGGCCTGAAATACCGAGGAATGTATTCCTATAGCATAACTATGGTTAGTATCAGGGTTTTTGGAGAATACTCCTGCCCCAGTGCCTTCCGCAGTCTTAGACCCGTCTGTATACCAGGTTTGTTCCTGTCGTTGGGCATTGGGCTCCCTTATGGTGATCTCCGCTCTTTCCTGTATTAAAACCTCAAAGGGAGTATTAAAAGAGTACCTCTTGGTTATGTGGTCTGATCTCATGTCTAGCACGTCTCCTGTCACTAACCTTGAGATACTCATGTGACCTGGCCTAATGTCAAGATTTCCTGTAAGCACCTAATCTTGCCTCCCCTTATATCACATAGTGAAGAGGTGCTTCTATTGCAGCAGTGGGGG